GAGCAATTATCAAATCCAACTACTGCAGGGGCACAATCAATCTTTAATTTATTAGCAATCCTAATAAGTCCAGGAAGCTGAAGGTAAACTGTTCCTTTTGGTAACATACATGGTTGAAATAGTTCAACATTGCCGTATTGATTTCTCGGAACTTTACCATCTTTGGCCTCTGGTGGGATGTACGGATCTGTTTGCCATTCACCAAATAGCTCTAAAGGAAGATCACGCAAAAAGTCTCCCAAATTTCGGTCCCATTTTTTTCTCTTTATAGACATTTTGTATGGTTCCTCATTAGAACGAACGACTCTCGCCTGTCTCATCCAATATTCTTTTGAATGAACATCTTTAACACATTCACGAGCATAAACAGGTTCACCTCGAAAATTACCCAATGTTGGTGAATCTGGTGGGTAGATTACTTCATACTTGAGAAGGTGTTTTTTGAGCACATAAAGAGGATGATTTTTAAAATCACTTAAAGTTGTAGGCATCGGTCTGTCAGCAAATATTTCAGCCAATTCTTTATCTTCTCTTTTCTCTTGGCGAGTTCGCTTACGAGGTCTGAAAAAGGAAAGAGTCTCGGTCCACCAATCTTCATCAATACGAGAACGACGAAACTTGCAAGAAGCAAAATCTGAACAATATCTTTGTGAGACATCCTTAACGTGAGAAAAGTTATCCCAAGAGACGACATACAACAGAGGATTGTGTGATCTTTTTTCAATTTTACTAGGATTATCCCATGTTCCTGATTCAACGTCCACACAAATCCACTTTTCTTCCGTTTCAACATAAATCTCGCACCAGTATTCTAGTAGATTTTTATCTTCAGTAGTTTTAACTACCATCAAATCATTGGAGTCATCTTCACTTATAATTGATTTATTTTCTACTTTAAGCACTTTTGTTTTTTGTTTTCCTTTCCCTTTACCTTTGCCTTTGGCTTTCGACCTTTTTTCATCATCAGAGTCCATTTCGTAATCTTCATCCTCTTCATCAGAGCTTTTTTTCCGCTTTTTTCCTCGACTTGAGCTGGTATTACTAGTTTTCTTAGTTTTTGAATCATTTTTCCCTGCATTTAATTTATCACTGGGTAGTTTTTTGTCGGCAGTTTTGTTGCTTGGTTTTGACTTGGGCTTGGAAGGCTCTTCAGGGTCATCTTTGGAACTTTTGGCTTTTGATCTTTGCTTCTCAGTCATTATTAAGTTATCAGGTTTGATTGGGATAGGATTTAGAGCATAACATAGCCTCAATTGAATTTTGGGAGAATAAATACGGAGGAAGGCCAAGAACATGAGAACATATGCGACTTGAGAATGAACAACATTAGTTTCAAATGCTTGAGTCAATGAATCAAGGAGATCTGTTTTTGACCTAGGTTTTTTTTCCAGATTAAACCATGAGCGAAACCAATTGGTGAAATCTCGGACGAAGAGTAAATTTATCTTTTTAAGGTCAAAAGTAAAAGAAGTAAGATGAGAAAGCGCTAAGGATGATATGAGTGGGTGGTATGTAAGTCGATTGAGGTAAAAACCTCGACTCAACAAGCAAAGTAGGTGAGTTTTATGCATCTCAACCTGTAACTCTTTTTTCATTCGATTAATTTGCTGTCGAAGGAGCTCATCTACATCAACCTGTTTTTTACGCCTTTTTTTGTTAAATATCTTTGGTCCATCAATAGTAATTTGAACTCCTTGTTCAGGTAATTGTGGCTTGTAGTTTTCAAGAGCATCTTCATCGTCAGCAATTTGAGCTTCTTCCACTTCTTCCCAATCATCAGCATCAGAGTCTTCATCAGAATCACTGTTACCATCATGGTTCTTTTCATCGCTATTATTATAGTCCTGGCTGTTTTCATCGTTTTCATCTTTATTTCCATTAACAACAATAGAGGACGAATTTTTCGACAAGTTTCGATTAACACTCCTTCTAGATCTTGTAACACTTTTTGAAGTTGACGGTTCATTTAGAGAATCTTTATGGTAATTCCCTATATCACACGATACTGATTCTGGCTTCTGATTATTTCCAATATTCTTTTTACTTGTAACCTCTTTTTTCCTTTTTTTACCTTTAGAAGTGGACGGTTCATCGGCAATATCTTCAAAATCAAGTTTAGCTCCATTTTGTTTATCTGAAAAGGTTACATCATTTGAAGATTCGACAGCATTTTGCTTCTTACTCTTTGAAACTCTGCTTCTGGTCTTTCTTTTTGAGGTAGTTGGTTCATTTGAATCATCTTCGTGAGCCTTTAAAACTTCATCCTCCACCAATACTGAAGATGATATATCTTTAACATCCTGTTTAGTGATTCTCACAGTCTTGGACCTACCTCTTGTACGTCTGGTTGTGGTAGGTAATTCACTAGGGACATTACTTTGTGAATCAGCTACTTCAGATTCAATATTATCAAAATATGGTGATTTGGTTCTACGTCTTTTAGGTCCCATAAATAATTGACAATCAAAACAAAACACAATAATCAACAAGAAAAACAAATGAAAGTCACATTTTAGTTCAAAAATAACTATTTAAAAGGCGGTTTAATGTGTTCAAAAAACAAAAAAATAAGAGAAACCTTGAAAACAGCTAATGCCATCTGTAGTCTCTTGTGATACAAGGTTATATGTTTTTGGACATTAGTGCATTGGGAAGCATCACAAGGTCTAATCATTAAAATACAGTCATGTGATAATTAGATCACAGTTCAAAAGATTAAAATATACAAGTTTATGTGTAGCGTGACTCATAATTTTTTGAACATAAAAGAAACAGCAAAAACAAAAATATCTGCAAATGAACATATATAAATATATAAGAATATACATTTACATGTATTTTTTCATCTTTTTTTATATTTTAAATATTTATATCTGTAATTATAGATGCATTTGATTATTTATATATGTATAGTATGCATATTTTTGTTTTCATAATTGGCGTTTTGGGAAGTTACTTTGAATTTTTTCTTTGATCAAAAATCAGTAGGTTAAATCTATAACACCGGAGTTTTTGATCCTTTCTACAAGGAGTCTTTGGAGAGTGTCGATTTCGTCTTGGTATTTTTTGATATTCTCCGTTAAAGTTTCCTTTTGTTTAATTAGTTGAGCTTTTTTGGCTTCAAGTTCGGTAATTTTTTGAATCTTTTTGTTACGGCACTTGGCTGCTGCTTGACGATTCCTCTCTCGTTTTCTTTCCAATTTCAACTTGTCTTCATCAGGTAACGTAGATCCATTGCTGTTGCTGTTGTTGCTAATATTATTGATGGTATCATTAGATGAAATATTATTGTTATTGTCACTACTGTCGGTATTATTACTGTGGTTACTACTTTCCATAGTGGGTAAGACTTCGAGAGCAGGGGTTAGATTAGGTATTGTTGGAGGAAATTGAGCAACCATTGAATCTAATTGTGGACTGGAGATGATTACTTTGTTTAAATCAGGTGTTTGTAGAAAATCTGCATGATTTACGCGCTTGAGATCCAAAAAAGTAGGCTTCGGAAGTTTACGATGAGATGATTGCCACCCTAAATCACCAGGTATCTTAGTTTTGGTTGCACCATTTTCCTGTGATATCTGGTTTTTTTCTCCATCATCTGAATTTGCCATGATTCACTTAGATAAACTCACCACCGGTAAAAAAATATAAATTTAAAACAAAAATAAATTAAAACAAACTATTTGTCATTAAAAATGTTCACAATTAGACAGGACGAGAAAATTGCAACCCATAACACAACAAATTGTTTTATTTTGCCATTAGTGGTTCTTTAAGGCGTTAGAAGAGGGAGTCGTATAGAAGAAAAAATGCGCTCACTCAGTAAGAAGATTTAATTTTAAGCGCTTTTTTCGAACCAATGGAAAGATTAGTCATAACTTGTTTGCATTGTTTGACTGTATTTACATTA